GTTTTCTTTTCTTGATGACGTCTCGGGATTTTTGCAATTGATTGACATGTGGACTGACAAACACCCTTCGATCGGGCGTCAGCCTCCCGTATCTCCCGTATCAACACGACCTTTTCCTTACAACGAGGAAAGGACACGTGTATGCGAGTGAGACGTACGAGAAGCCGTCGGACGAATCGGCGGGCAATATTACTTTCCTCCGAAAAATCGTTGTTTAGGGTTCGTAGAGGCTGGGTTTGTCATTATCGATACACACTTTCCACCCTACTCGATATTGTTGTCATTCAACGAGTTGATAGTCATCCCGCGGACGGCAGTAGAACCCCACTAGCCACGCACTCTATGCACCGAATGCCAGCACTTTGAGCGCTACAAAACCAGGGGTTTCCACTACCGTGTGCGGAGTGAAGACGAACATACAGAAAGAGCCACGCGACTAAGACCATCCACGTCGGATTCTGAACTGGTCAGTGAACGACGACGGGACTTAATACGGAAACGAGACACGCGAAGCGTGCCGAAGCCTTTCTGTTCTAAACGACGGGCCGTAGGCAGGTGGGAAGTCCGACAATATTTTCTGGATTGAATTTGTATTTCTCTCTCTTCTCGCGCCAAACTTCCGCGCGCATTTTGCGTCGCTCGAAAACGATCGACTTACTTCATCGGACCAACACGGGGGATCTCAGTTTCATCTGTGTCCCCACACTCAATTTCCAAAAATCCTTGGCACACCCCATCTTGCTGTTTTTCTGGGCCTCTTTCCGCACATCTAGCACTCCGAACGAAAGACAGCACAGGACGTGAGGTCTGCGCGTCACACTCGGTTATCTGCGTGCCATCTGGATTTGTTCCGCGCCATCTCTCTCTCTCTCTCTCTCTCTCTCTCTCTCTCTCTCTCTCTCTCTCTCTCTCTCTCTCTCTCTCTCTCTCTCTCATCAATCAAGCATATATAAACTACGGGCTGCGCACCCATGCCCTCACGGTAAGTCAATCTGAACGTGGACGTATTCAACGCCCCACATGTTCAGCGCCCGATTGAGTGAGTCACATGTGACAAAACAACTTTTATTTAATAAAAAAAACAAAACTTACAACAACAAACACTCAAGCACACACATAGACGACATATGGACCAAGATTCAAGGACCACCAGCCTCGACACCAACTATGAATCAAGGTATGTCAAATATCTAATGCATTAATACCATACAAATTACCTACATCCCACACATTCCAACACTAACGATGTGATAAACACGAACACCCTAAGTATCACACAAACACACACACACTAATCTTGACACATACACACAAATACTCCATTTTTTCATGCAACAATCACCCTACTTCTAAACCTCGCCAATAACGCCTCCTTTATCAATCAAGCATATACAAACTACGACGGGCTGCGCACCTGTGCCCTCACGGCAAGTCAATAATGATGTCGGAATCCTCCGTGGCACCCCAGAATTCCATAAAAATGTCGAAGTTACATGGTAGGTCCCAAAGTGGGCCTCCGCGCAGATGGAGGCAGCGGGGGTGGACGTGAAATGGACATGAGCAGGAGCGGAAGTGCCCTCCGCCCGAATGCAAGTCGTGTCCCCTCATTTTCCCATTCAGGAAAACAACGGAAACATTTCCTATTTCGGTAAACGGGAGCGACGGGGACGCCACTCTTTGCGGTCGCAGTGGGATCCCGCCGTCCTTTGAAGGTCTGTTGGCGGTGGACGGGAGTCTGTATGTGTGGCTCCCCATTTTGCTTTGCCGCGGTGCTGTGGGGTCCACCCCTTAGCTAACAATCTTGGCCAAGGTCGAGTGCCAGGGCTGACTGGCATTGCCGATGCCTGTCTCCTGATAGTCAGGCACAAAGCATGTACAAGGGAGCACGGAGGAAAGGGTTTGAACCCACGACCACTTGTATGCAATCTGCGCACCTGACCTAATGAGGCCTATGCGCTACGTTGGGCCCATTGGCCGAAGGATGGTCTCACCCGCGAAGTCCAAGGACGGTAGCAGTCGGCCGACCGGTGTCCTTGCGAACGTACGGCCGACCGCGGGTGATTACAGACGGGCGACCGCGGGCGATTACAGATAGGTGATCGCGGGGCGAAGTGGGTGATCGTGCGGACGATCGGGTTCACTACGGGCGACGGGAGGTCATCTTGGCCAATCAGGTAAGTGTCCAACCATACTCACCCGTCTCGTTCTTGTCGACGTTCTCCCTCAGGTTCTTCCTCTTCTTCTTTCCTCTTTTACCTTTTGTAGTGCCGCTCTCTGAAGTTCTGGCGTTGTCGAACGCGCGGGTCGTCCTACGTCGTAGTGCTACCGCGATCGCAACGCGGGACGTGCCCTTTTCTTTCGAGAGGGAAGCAGGGGCGAGAGCGCTGGGGAAAAGAGAGGGTTCCATTTTGTTTTGGTCCTCCCTCCCCCCGTTTATGACAGGATTGGGAGCGGGTTCTTTGGACGGGAAGATCTTTTGTGTGTGTGTGTGTGTGTGTGTGTGTGTGTGTGTGTGTGTGTGTGTGTG